AAGAGGTCGCTTACATTTCCTTGAAGTCCACACCACTGTTTTTTTCGTTTGCCAGTCGTCTGTTCTTATTACGTGATCAGGTCATCTGTGCTTCACTTTCGATGTATCTTGTTCTGGATAAGATAAGGTAGTAAGATAATCTTGAGAATGAGATAGGTTTCCAATATATGAGCTGCGCACTCCGGCCAAGTTTGAGTGGTGGGTAAATTTCAGAGGACATACTACCACAACGTTGCTGACATATTTGCAAAATTCTGGACAGCAGAAGTTTATGGTGGGGAACGAACGCGTTATTGTCCTTTCCGGGGAGTAACGCGTTCACCACCACACCATGCGGGTTCTTCGTTTCGCCTGTCTCTCAGCTATTTCTATCGATCTTTGCCACAGCAGTCACCCGTCAGCGGGATTGATCTGGGGCGCCCAAATCGGCATAGAACCCAGTTAAGCTGCGGCTGTAGTTGAAATCACAGTGTAATACCTTTTTATTTTCTGCCTACTATGATTTCGCGGTCTACCTATCCCAAGGTGGTCTACCTATTCAGAGAACTAACCATCTCGATTTGTTCGCTTTCACACCAGCCATAGCTAATCATTATGCACTTTTTTCGTTTACAATCTAACACAAGTTTGATAAAAAGAAAAAAAACGTCGACTAAAAAAAAGTTGAGGAAAACTAGAGGAGAAAAGAGCTATGAGTTAGCCGAATTGTTTTCTGTCGATCTCATGTTATCTTGTCAATGAAGGAAATCTTCAAACATCGTCTCTTCTTCGTTGGTACTTCAGAGCTGACGTCGTCGGGGAAACTAGGATTTAATGTCAGTCCTTTTTTAGTAACTATAATGTGGTAGTAAACAGCTATATGCTGTATCCTTGAACAACTTTAGCTATGGGTATTATAAGACGCCGATGGAAAAGCTTCATATTCGTGGTGGAGTTTCGAGAACAGTCAGATAGGGTTCTTATGTAGGACGCGCCCACTGGACACCTTGGTCGACGATCCTTGATATTATTGCATTCGTTTCGACGCTGTCAAGCACTTTGCCGTAGTCTATAAAGACTACGGCATGGGGTATATGGTAGTCTCGACCGACTGCTATGACCTATGACACAGTTTGGATGTGGTCCATGTTCAATTGATTACCTGATCTGTGATTTTCGATACGTTCAAAGGGATAGTCTTTGTGAACAGCTTGTAGAGTACACTCCGACGATAGATACGAAGATCCTTTTCGTCTTCTTTCCTGGGCAGGATGACCGTGCATGACGTCCATTGCTAGTCTGGGATTTTTTCCTTCTGAAGATAACATGTTGTATTATTCGCGAAAAGCAGATGTAATTTGCGACCACCAGCTCTAAGAAAATCGGCTGTGGTATTGTCGGGTCGTGCAGTTGTGCCCTTAATGCTTTCTATTACAAATCGAATTTCAGAGGGCAGCATCCCGTGCGGTTCTTCACCAATGGTGATTTCAGGTTCTGAGACGAGGATTGTGGAGAGGAAAAAGTTGATGTACACCTTTTCCGTTATCAAGTTTATATCACGGTGGGATGTGGTAGCAGCGCCGTTTATATTCATCATTGCAGATAGCGGAACATTATAGTTGCACAGATTCCGGCTGCACTTCAGATTAAGTCGTTTTTGAGCTGCTTCCAGTAGTTTTTCTACCTATATCGATTTGGTTCCTACAAAGATCTTTTGCAGCTGTCATTTATTACCAGATGTGTTAGGTGTGTTGCAAGGGGATCAAGCTGGAGTGGCTTTCTCACTTCGGTGAACTTAGTGATGATGGAGATGCGATATGAACTTGTGTGAGGAATTGAAGGAAGGCATAAGTTCCAAGTCTATCAGCAAAGACCTTATAGTCGTGTATCGAGTTCTCCTTCATCTGCCACTCTCATATGAGAGAGTTTTATTAAGATTGTCGTCGTCGTACACGAATTTTTTTCGTTACATGGTCCCAGTTCTTTTCCGGTTTATGGTTGGCAGAGTTGAGTCTTCAAACGAAGGTGATGATCGGATTCACTACACATTCCTGATAATCAAATAGGCACCATTTCCTGTTAGTAATGGTATGGTCGATCTTCGCATGACTCCCATGTACAACCGCGACTTTCTTCTGAATAAATGAATTCCTTTGGAAGAGACGTGCCGCAGGCTAAGGTTTTGCGAAAGGGTTTCTGTTCTTGTCTCGGAATAAAATTGCGAATTTTTCTATTTCCTATTCGCTTGCATTGGCGCTTCCTAATCTGGGACTGAAGTCTCCAAGAACGAATTTATAGGACTTTTCGATGTGGATTGCTTTCTCCAGCTGACTGTAGAACGCCAGCAGTTCGCTATTATCTGCTATACAAGGTGGTGACAAGTAGTTGATGTTGCTTTTGACGCACAAGTTGAATCAGTGCCCTCATGAAGAGCGTGAAAACCGCCATCTGAAGAGACTACTTTTACTTCATAAATGCGGGGTAGAAAGCAGTTTCCATCTTGTATCGTTGGCGTGCTTGATTTCGTGACGTACTCGCAATCTGAGATTTGATCGAATCTCACCGATTGTCTCACGGCTCATCGTCGTAGACGGGTGAGTCCAATTTGCCGAGTACTGAGGCTGAATATTTCCTGGTTGAGCCATTGCAGTGCCATGAAGTTCCGAAGTGAGAATAGCCCAAGCCTTCCTCAGACTCTCATCGCGGTAGCTCTTCGCCGGCCTCAATGGATTAGAGTAGGATTCCCCACCTTACGACTAACTCGAAACCAAGAAAACAGTGATTCCCGGTATTGGTTTACTCTTAGCTCTATTCTCGGAAGGAAACGGACTATTCAGCTTGATAGACCATGTTGTGGGACAAAACCCCTGTTGTACCAAACCATCCGACACTCAGGAACATCTTTCGTTCAGTATGGGAAGCTAAACACTTGGGACGATTGTATATATGTATGAATTATATATATACATATATTTATGTATATATACATATAATTCTTTTACAATAATATTGAAATCAACTGTAGGAGCAAACGTGTATAAACAAGTAAACGCTTCAGACGCCTACTACACTTAGCAACGCGAAGAAGTATCATTCAACTCATAGCACAGCCGATTTACATACTCATGTTTCCATGTTGACGAAGAAGGTGAGATGTATTTCAGTATTAGATTGTGACAGGGTAGGCGTATACTTCCATGCAGATTTCTTATTCAGTGAAATATGAGAGTTAAATGTAAATATGCGTCTAGTGATTTATATTTTGATACTTATTTGCACTGCCATGTGTTAGATCGTGGAATATTTGTTTTAATTGTTGCATATCTATCTGATACATATATTGACTTAACTAAATACTGAGACAATCGATTTTCCTGTGGAGTGCGAGTCTCAGATGTTTTTGCATTCGTTTCGCTGGCATTGGTTTTAGAATTTGAAAATTGATTCCAGTTTTGAATATAGCTGGTTTACGCAACAAATACATAGGCCAATCAAGATGTGCTTATGAAAAAAATGGCGAATTATTTATCAATGCTGGACATATAGAAAGCCTGTCTTGGGGATCACACAATCTCATCGGCTTTTGGTCTCATTCAAGGTCCTTTTGGTTTCTTTGGGAGTCAATCTAGCACTCTAATTACTTAATCTATTAATCCATCTTTTGCCATCTCAGCATTTGTTCCCTTTTTTGATTGGTGCTTTGGAGCTCATTTCTCCAAACGTGTTTTCAAGGTCACGAGGACGGGGTATTCTCCGGAGTTTGAAATAAAAGAAAACGAGTTCGTATCGAGCGCGCTTATTCATCCCTAAATTTATATCTAAGACACCTAAATCCTTAGATAACCAATCTCCAAATATCGGGCATGTTGCATCAATTTTTCCACTATTTTCGTTGTTATTCGACTGTTATCAGCAGAAATGATCGGATTCGTGTTGTGTTGGCTGGAACTTGTTGACTTGTTACCTTCACTCCTCGCTGTTGTGTTGGCTGCTGTTCAAGCGTGATTCATCCTGGAAACTTAGCATAGGCCTTACACCATAGTTCCCGGTGCCGAATTGTTTCAGGACAAAAACCATTTTACAGGAGCAAATCCTCGGATTAGAATTCCTGAGGACAATTTGGCAAGACGAATTCCGGAACTAGTGTTCAGCAAAATTCATAATGAAGATGAAATCCTCAAGCAACAGCTAAAACAACACGCGAAATGTTCGAAGACTGTTGTGGACGATGAATGCGTGCAAAACGAATCGGATGCAAGAAGAGTTGTGGTCCGTACAGTAGATGCCGTCAAGGGTCATATAAAGTAAAATAAAAATAAAGTCAGAGTTCTTGTAATCGCGGTAATAAACAGTTTTGTAAATGGAGAGCATCTTGACTATCATTGACCTTTCTGTTTTTTTTTTTACCAGAAAAGTGTTGGTACTATTGTAAGCATTTTTTGTGTGAGTGTATATTTTTTGTGTTTCACTGTATATCATTTGTTGTTTTCAGTTATAAACTTCAATATCGTAAAACCTGATTGTACCATTTCTTTCAGTCCGTTCTGATGCCACCTGCTGCACTTCCTTGCATAAGTAGTCCATCGTCCTCGTTTTTTTCGAGGGAGGTGGTAAATATCCCATACAATACTGGACTTGCAGAAAACACGTCGTGTCTGCCGGACTCTCGATGTAAGTATTCGTGCAGAGGTTATGCTTTTATTTGATATGTAGTTTATCATCTTAGTTTTACCACAGGATAGTGTGGACACTGTGTAAATCTGTACATTATGGCAGTTCAGAATAAGTTAACCGATTATGTGTTGTACCTACTTATTCATCGACGATGAAATTAGCCATTTAGCTACAGATCCTACAATCCAATAACCAGATTTTTTTCAGCTACCGATACGCCGAGCTTGGGTCCGGGTAATTCGGACGTGAGCCGTCTTTCTACCAGCGACCTGAGATGTGAAGCCAATATTTCCTTAAACTCCTTTCCTACGAATTTCTCTGAACTGGCCCACAGCACACATATCAATATGAAACTAATTTACCCTCAAAACCTAACTTCAGATACAGTTGGAGGAAAGTTCTCAGTCAGTAATACTTCCATAGAGAGTTCTGGGCATACTCCCACTAAACCGACGACCTATTCACCTGAACTTTCTGGGGATAATGAAAGAGTTGATAGACTAACTTGCTTCTGTTCTAAAGAGGCATCTAATTCGAAACACACCTGCCCCTGCTTGTCGAAAAGAAGTGATGGTTTGACCATCTCAAGGGAACAAAGCATAAAGTGAGGTTTAATTCTTTCTTTTATTTATTTCAGTAAATTTAAGGAGAAGAAGTAGTTAGGTTAGTGGGATAGTACTCCGATTAGTATCCATTCTTACAAAATCATTAAGTTATTTGTCTTGAAGAAAAATCATCAAGAAAAGTAGTTCCTCAGATACCACCATGGATGGGTATTAAATTAATAAGAGGGGTTTTTTAAACCCTAGTAACTCACTGAAAGGATTACACTGATACGGTGCTCAAAATTTGAATCACGACAATAGTCGTTAAGTTCTGCGTGTTCCCCTTCTTCTATGGATCCTCAGAAGCAGAAGAACAAACGTGTCCGTTTTACAACAGTTAAAGTGTACTACTTTGCTCGTACTCAAGGCATTTCAACTGTGCCGAAAAGCGGTGAAGTATCTCTGGGTAAGGCCGAAAGGTTTTTCCTTAACTTGCTTTTGTATCATCTCCGATTTTTTTTATGTTTAGGAATGGTTGATAAACATTTCACTGAGCGACAATTTTCACTGTGGCTTGGTCATCGCCCAGAGTTGAAACTCACAAACGAAAGTGAAGTTAGTTCCTTAGATACCACCATAGATAGATATTACATTAATAAGGAGGGTTTTTTAAAACTCTAGTAACTCACTGAAAGGATTATACTGAACCATTGACGTGGAAGAGCATTGAATATCGGTCATTGTATATCTTGTTTTAGTAATTAGCTAAGCGGTGTAAAATGTTTTTTAGTCCTTTGTGTGCTAGATAGGTTCGATATTGACCATATTTTAGGACAACTTTTCTTCCCAGGAAGAATTATCAGGAAGTTGTTCTGATTATCCAGAGGGAATTTTTGATTCCGAAAGGCACGAACGTTCTCCTGCTTATCAGTTGCAGTTGGTTGAAGGGAAAGCCCGTATAAAAATGCTAAAACGGTCAGGGGTTCAGGTTCGGAAGGTAAAAGCTTTGAATACAAATTTTTGCTGTTTTGCACCTTTTTTAGCAATAACACACATAATAAATAGCTTTCGAAATGATTATCAAATGTGAGCCTTTATGGATTCACATCTGACCTAGGATGAAAGCTTGGAGAGCTTGGAATCTATCCGTAAATCACGCATACTATGCGGCTGCCATTGTGAGAATGGTGTTTGTCTCTCGGATACATGTCAATGTGCTTTAGAAGGCATCGTATGTCAGGTAAGAAATGCCATACGTTTTTAAAGGTTGTTGTCTCTAACATTGTATTTATTACGAATTGTAAAATTTATCGTACTTACGTTTAAGGTGGATGGTGTTGACGAATTCGGAATGACACATCCTTGCTGGTGTAATGCAATGAGTTGTTCTAACCCATGTGGGAGGACAGAGTTTGATCCCGAGCACGTCAAAAACCACTATCATATGACAATGATGCGTTTAAAACATGCAGAAAAATCGGTACTTTGTTGTTTTTGGTCTAATATGTTTCAAAAAGGGGCGCGTGTGGCGCAATGATCGTAGACGCCCTGCGACATACACATGGGATCGATCCCTGTGCCCATAGCTCACCAAGCCTTCCAGCACTCCGAGGTCGGCAAATTGCTAGCAGACTTGTCTGAGAGAATAGCAGCACTGGCTCTATTCATCGCTAGGCCACCGCGAGTCATTGTAGAGGTTAAATACGAATTCTATCAATTCCTACGTTTCTTAGTGAAGTCGGATGCATGGCGCATCACTCAGGGAATTATCAACACCGAGAGCTTTTTTTGTTTCAGAAAATATTGGTACATTTAAAAATATTGCTATGTGTACAGTGCCAATGCTTGAGAATACAAACTATGTCTGACAGATTTTGTTCATTACATTTCATATTCCGACTTTCTCCAGGGAGTATATGATTTACCACTACGAATACGATTCAATTCGGATGGGGAACCTCAACCAAATGGCCAGCCATGTACATCACCGAGCGAGGTGAGGTAGAAAATTTCTCCTTTTGGCACAGCACCCGAGATACATTGGGTGCAATGCATTTGCTGCGAAAATAGTGGGCACCTTCAACTTCCAACAATCATATCACATTAGTTTTTTGTTGGTTGGCAAAATAATATTGCTAAACCGCATGAGTTAAATGAAAACCAGCAGATTCGATAGGTCTTGTTTAAGAGATGTAAGCTGCCATATTGTAGCAAGATGAAATCCTAATTTTCTAGATCCCCTGACAATAACGGTATTTCTTCTTTCACGTTTTTTTACTTCAATTCCAAGCATTTAAATTTGGAGAAATAAGTTATCGATTTCCCTTATCAATTTCAACCTACATCTGACCAGAAATATGTCTATTTCATCCTCAAAACATAATGGGTGTTGCTGGTTTTTGAATAATTGCCGATAATTCTTCGATAACTGGACAAGGTTAATTGAGAATTTGTCAAAAGAGGCTGTGGCTTATCATTCTAGGTATATAATGAATTTTTCTAGAATGTTCATTTGACTTTAGATCTGTTGAAAGTCTAGAGAGAGAAATTTGGGAGCGAGATTTTTATTTTTAAAATTATTAGTGCAATCATGGTAAACGTTGTGATATCTTGGGTAGGGGTACCTCCTTGCCCTTTTCTGCGACATTCAGACCGTTCAATCGTTTAGGTATTCGAAGAAGACTCTCGATTTAAAAAAAAATGCAAAGAAAGTACGCTTGACGGACTCCAAAAAGTTGGATTTTCATTTGGTAGAGTATTTTTTATATTCCATATTATACGACCCGTCTTCACGTTTATGGTGCAGATCTCAGCATTTCTCACATCCGATTCGTTTCTTCGCATCCATCAGGCAGGAAGGTTTTCCAACTTTTAGGTGTGGCTTCAGCTGCTGTTTAAGGATTTTCGTCATCTTCAATGTCGTAGATCCAGTGGATTCTTCTTGGAGACTTGACATAGCAGGATTGGGTTGCAGAGTTTTTTCCAGACAATTCCGGCACCAATTTCCCACCTCAGAGGATTGAGAAGCTTGGTGAGCCTGGGGTGGATCGAACCAGCGCCGCACTCATGATGGTCCGCATCACTACTACTGCTATCCGCCCTCTTTCTGGTAAAATAGAGAGATTTATATCTTGTAGACGATAATTTGTAGATTCTAATGGATTTTATCTCAAGTGATAAAAATCACTATAAGATGAGATTTTTCTTTTGAAGAGCGCAGCGATTTCCGTTCACGTATGATTGTATATAATGGATTTCGCCCATTATGTGTGGATCCATTCCTCCGCGCGACTGTATTTCGTGGCTAGCCTAGCGGAGTATGAGCAATTTTTCGTTGCATGCAGACTTTCTGGGGTTTTTTGACAATGAAGAACCTTTTCTCAATAACTAGAGCTTTCGGAATTGTGAGACATTACAAGATTGTACAAGAGACTGCGCTATCGTTCTACGAATATGAATGATGTGTATGCCACTATTTACTATGTGTCACCATACGCTACATTACAGATTCATTTCTGTTAGTAGTTGGAAGCATTTTGTAGTTTATGTTGAACCTACTTCGGTGTTTTCATGCCCACACATTGTGTACAATAACCGTAGCGATTAAAATGAAGTAACAATAAGTTGTTAGTTAGATTACCGTTCAACGAACTTCTCCGAGATGAGGTTTCTTGTAAATCAGTGAGTATAGAGAATGGTTTTTTGATACCACCCTTTCTGTTTTGATCTGATTTCGATTGGCTATCGAATGAATACATATAGAGGGGTAAAAAACTCTGGAACCCACTAAACTGAATACGGGCACTACAGTGTCCACATGGACTTTGCTCTGGAAAACTGTGGACACTATAGATGTCACGTTTTAATTTCGTTTCCGATTTTTTTGGGAGTGAGTTTTTTTTTTAGTTTGGACTAAAATAACACCTTAGAAAAGTTACACGTTTCCTTTGAACATTAGGGCAAAGTGTCTTTCAAAGATTTACCAATTTCTTAACACCGTAGTACTACGGTTCTCGGAATGTTATCGGAACTTATCAAACCACCATCGTCTTATGTGTCATTATTCGGCAGAAATCATAGTCCTTTTCACCTACACCCATTACACTTCGACATTGTCCTCGATCTTTCTCAAATACCTCGAGCTCAAATTGTTTGTCTTATTCTGAATAGTGATATAGTTTTACATAATCATCTCTCCAAAATCTACTCAGGCTATCTTTCCCACTCAGTCTCACTCGGATTTTCTCGATAACAAATCAGTGACTATTTGTTAATTTCTTTATACGATTATGTGACATATTTTGTATATTAGTGAATTCGCTGATCTTTCATATAAAATTTCTACCACACTTTTAAAATCATATATGTGAAAACAGAGGCAATTGAGGAACGAGTCGTTTTCTTTTTTTTTTTGGCGACACATGTTCATCAGAAGTATTTCGTCTGAGTCTTGTACGAAAATCGTGCCTTATGCTTTGTTTCTAAGACGTGTATGAGGTTGTGATTATAGGTGCCCTGTTCTCTTCAGAAGGTCGGTTGTTAGTGTAGTCCCTCCTGCGGTACCACCGAGCCCTCTATCTCTCTGGGTCGACAAATAGCACCAGATTTTTCTCCTAAGATAGAAACGCTGACCTGATATATTGGTAGGGTAACGGAAGTCGCTGTATGGGAAAATATGCATCCATTCACCTCCACAGTGCTAGGTGAATACGGATGCATGGAACATCGCTCATGCATTTTCCAAGGTCGAACGCTTTACTCTTCCATGCATTATGAGTTTTAGTTGACTACTATTTGTACCCTACTCTGTAATACGACTTCTGCAGCAGAAAACCGTTGTAAAGGAACTAGCCCATTCTCATTTATATGCCAGATATATCTTTCTTGTAATTTGATGTCTATCTGTCTACTGCTGCCAAGGTGAATCATGGATAAAGCTCTCGGCATTGATCAATTCCTGGAAGATGCGCCTTGCATTCGACTTCACTAAGCATCACTAGAGGTGGTTGAATGCAAATATGACCTTTACAGTGACTTGAGGAGGCCTACCAATGTGTCGAGTCAGTGCTGCTATTCTTCTAGACAAGTTTGGTACCAATTTGCTGACCCTGGAGGGTGGAAGGTTTGGTGAGTCTGAGACTCGGGGATAAATCCCATGTGTATTGCAAGGCGCCTGTGACCACTGCGTAACGCTCTCCCCGTATTGCCAAGGTGAGATACCAGAATTATATTCGTGCCAATTTAGACCTTAGGGGTTGACAATGGAGCTAATACTGCGGTATCGCAATGTAGTTAAAGAATTCTTATTACGACAAGTTGGATTTTCTTATCAGACAATAACGATTAGTAACATTTCTTTGTTTTCTCATTCAAGTAATAGTCTCAAATGGTGATATAGTTTGTTTATGTGTGCTCTAAGCCACTGAAGTTTTCATTTCCGGTGTAATAAAATCAAAACGTTTAAAAATACTTCAAATAAAGAGTTTTTCAACGGTCGTTAAGTACTTGGATACATGGATACATAGACGACCCGTCCTCACTGGTTGTGCAGGCCTCAGCACATTCTTCATTCTTTGGAGTTTTGCCGGTTTAGCCACTGTGTTTCCCTGGAGTGCCGAGGCCAGCCTGATCAAGATCTGCCCCTGGTCGTCACCGTTTCAGTCAGTCGCCGTTCTTATGGATCAGAGTGGATTTGCCACTATGCGACTAGTTTGGTATCAGGACGGTGGTGAATCCTGGTATTGATCTAAAAGTCGTTGAGTACAATGTAGTGAATATAGAGATATTAAAATTTAGAAGAAATTTAGAACGAAGAAATTCACGAAGGCATTATGTATGGCTCCACTAATTTCTATTTTGTCGATTCATAGGCTAGAGATAAGGAAAGAAATTTTAAAATTTCAGCACTTGTACTTTACCGTTTTCAGACTTTACATTTCTAATTTAGTTCTCTTCTAAGTTAATATTAAAGTCATGTTCTACTTAAACAGGAGGATTAACAGCGTAGATACATCACTCCAAATCGATGTGGCTTTACATACTGTTACATCACAGTTCATGCTGTAATCGTCACACCCCCAATAATGCAGGCGTCTTCCGTTCGTTTTCTTTTCCCTCCGTTTCCCGTTCAACGCCTATTTCATAACCACATTGTTTGGTCATGTCGTCTTTACCCCATTCATATGCGACGTTTCCAGTTCGAAAAGGGATTTTTAGTCAGTTGTACGTATGTTTTGTTTCTGTGTATATGAATACGAAGCTCTCCGTTTAGCCCAGATAGCAAACACTGACAAAATATCGTTGTAAAAGTTATCTGGAAAATTATGCTTTTTTAAACCTTAGTTGAGTACGAACATATTCAAGCTCAGAAGATGCTAACGTATTAAAAACTGCCAAGACGTACACGTTTTTCCTACGCTAGAGTTTGAAGTACGAATTTAAAGTGTTTTCAATGGTTTTCTACGCACATGTTAAAAAAAGAGATAAAAATGGAAGGATCAAAAAAGAGAGAAAAAGGAAGAAGTGAGAAAGGGATTTAAATATGTAAGAACTATTCATCACGACCTCCAACTTAGTGTTGTCATTTTGGAAAAATTACTTTTTCAGCAGAGCCCTATCATAGTGTAGGGCGTTTGAGACATTTGTTTGGACACTTATAAAACCGTTCTTCATGAACAATGTAAACTGTGGCATATTTTTTTATTTTCTTCCTTACCTCGCAATCGATATCAATGGTTGTAGTTTGTTTCTAGTATGGTGATGTTCGTGAATATCGTACCGTGATCTGTGGAACTGCATTTGCAGCCGCTAATGCAGCTGGTTGGTTTTAGTTACAAACCCGCTCATCGTCAATCCGAAATTGTCCGTCATCGAATCCGGAATCTGCACCAAAGGACGCTTAAATCTTTATGGTGTCCGTTCAACAATTTTTTTCGTCCATCTGTCGTCCGCTCTTTTTAACACTATCGCGACGATGTCTAATTTCGTGTTTTTGCGGAGTGGATGACGCCTAATTTTTTGCTGCACTGGCTGTGACACTTATATGTGTTAAACCGGCCACTCCGGCAGCT